TGATATTTTGAATATTTCCAAATATCGTTGCATCAGGTCTCGCCGGCCAAGAAAAGATTCGTCATCGAATCTTGTATTTGCGCTGCATCAGCTCCCCCCGGCCTAGAAAGATTCGTCTTCGAATCTTCAATTGTTTCCTTGGAACCACGTAGATCTTCTTAGCATGATTTTTTTTTTGAAGAAATAAGTTGTACATCCAGAAACTTCAGATTTTGCCCGAGATTCGCACATATCTGGTTTTTCAGAGAATTTTTAGAAATCTGGTAAAACCCAAAATATGCACGAATCTGACTCAATCCGGTTTTCGCACGAAATCTGCACAGAACACGAACTCTGCACATATCGGATTTTGCACAGCTTCAACAGGAAACCCTAGTTTCCGGTTATATTCAGAAGCAACGGATCTAGTTTTATCCCTAGAAACTTCCGCTCAGAAACTGTAAACTTTGGCTTCCAACAAACTTTTTTTCCTTTATTTGTTTGCCTTCATTTTACCAGTTAAGTCTGTTTAAGGGGTTCCAAAGCGCAATTAGAAAAAGGAAAACAGAGATTGATAAAGAATTCGTAACGAATCTTAAAAGCAAAAAAATATCAGTCTTGAATTATGGATTGACCAGAGCTTGGATCTGTTCCAATGTCTTCCCTTTGGTTTCAGGCACGATTGCGATGACAAACACGATGGCCAGCGCATTGATCACCGCGTAAATGATGAAAGTTCCTGCACCATTTTTATTTAATTTTCAAGAGTGCCAAGGAGATTGAAAGTGTAAGAAATGTAAGACAAAAACAGTAGTTAGTTACCGTAAGAGCTCCAGGACATGAGGAAGTTGAAAGTGTAAGAAACGGCCCACGCTCCAAACCAGTTCACCAGCGTAGCCATGCCTCCTGCCACTCCTTTTATGTTTATCGGAAATATCTGCAACTCGCGGATTTTGGTTTGGTAAGATGATGAGGAATATCACTCAAGCTATTGCAAAGGATGGATGGGAATGTACCTCAGACATGACCACCCACGGCATTGCTCCCATTCCTGCTGAAAACGATCCTATGTACACCTGCGATCCATCTCACCATTTTCACTTTCTTAATTCCATCTTTGGTGCTAACTAGTGAATCAATTACTAACCATTATACCAACAACAGCCAGGACTGGGACTGCTTCGTGTGCCATGTCGTGAACCTTGAGATAGAAAGAGACCGCTGCGATCAAACAGCCTATCACTAACCCTGTTGCAGAAACCTGCCACAATGCCTTTGAGTTACTTATCCTTATAATATAATCCATCCAAAATCCTTTCTTTCTTTTTGTTTACCAGTAGCAATGGCTTTCTTCCGGCTCTGTCAACTATTGGTGCATTGAGCGCAGTGATTACCACCTGGTTGTGAACAAAACAAGAGAGCTTAGGAATACATACAAGCATCCTTTGAAATTTGAATGTATCAGACAGTTGATAAAATAAGCTGAAACCTGAAGAACCGCATATATTATCATCCCAAGTCTTGTGGGGAAACCTGTTGGCACAAAGATTAGATACAAATTAAGGCGTATAATTCAGAGGATTATCTATGTTAAGAACCTGCTTGCTCAAATATAGAGCTTGTGTAGAAACAGATTCCGTTGATTCCTCCAAACTGCTGAAACACCATCAATCCGAATGCTATCTGCTCCCCAAAAAAACCACGAAATCGGTTACATGTGCAGCGAGACAAAGAAGAATACTGGTTTGCAAGAACGTTGTTTAGGGTGTTACAAGAACAGAGCGTATGTATCTCCTCTGAAACAAATCCAGCATCTTTGCTTTCGGAAGCTTTTCCAGAGTTTCAATATAATCCTGTCAAGAGTGATGGAGAGGTGTTTTCAGATCAAGAGATGTTTCTTGATTCAGAAGAAAATGCAAGATTCAAACCTGAATCTCTGCTGCCTCCTGCGATATATCAGCATTCTTCCCACGGAGCTTCCTTAGTGTAGCTTCAAACTCTGTATCACGCCCCATCTTTGCCTACAAACACATGTACCATTAAACACACAAGAAATGATACATGTGCTTTCATGGTGTTTCTTCTAGTCTTACCAGCCATCTTGGAGACTCGGGGATGTAAAACAGGCCGAGAAAGGAGACAGCGCATGGGATGATTCCTGAAGCCAAGGTACCATTTCAAATTCCACATCAATCTGACTCAAATGAAGTCCTATTTAGAGTGCATAGATTCCTAACCTATTAGTGCTAAGACTCTCCATGTCACTACTGTGCCTATAATGAAGGAAACCGACACTCCAGTGCAGATGAGAATCTGTGGCACAAGAGGAGAAATTAGATCTAGAATTAACTATAACACAATCAGGTGGGAGACAAAAAAAAAATTCCACGGTGCTTCAGTTTATACCTGATTTAGAGTGGTTAAAGCCCCTCTGAAGGTTTTAGGAGCAATTTCTGCTATAAAGATTGGTACCTAAAAGTATCATTCATTCACAGAGACAGAGTGTTACTCTGCATACCTTGATTGCGAGATGTTGAACAGAGAATATATTAACTCGATGGGCTCACCACATAGGAGAATGCTCCCATTCCGTATCCCGTTGCCAGTCTTCCGAGATCCAAAGCCACCACTCCCTTTGGTTGACACACAGAGAGATACATTAAGGGAAACATTTGAGACCAGCATAGGCGTTTGCCTCCACTGTTTACTAGGGTAATACCTTGGCAAAGGAGATGGCTAGCCACCCGACGACACAAAACGCAGAAGAAACTCTCATTGCCTGCATACAAATTCACAAGGACTAAATCTCACAAAGCCAACTCAGATGGAAAGTTGCAGATTCTTCCTTACCCCTTTTCTTCCAACTAAATCAGCTATAGGCCCACTTGTGATTGCCCCAATCATTGCACCAAAAGTCAGTAAAGAACCGAAGAGTGAAAACTGAAGAACCCAAGGTAGATATAAGCAACTTTCAATGGTAAAGCATAATCAATTAAAGTTAAAGGTTCTTCTGTAAATCATTCCTTATGTCTACCTCAGCTATAGTCAGTGAAAGATCATTCCTAATTGCAGCCTGAGCAGGTGAAGAGTATCCCGCCTGCATCAAAGAGGGATTTTTTTAGGAACAGAATCAGAGTCTCCCTTTTTCAGGTAAATAGCCTTACAGAGTTGGTGACTTTCCATGGATCAAAAATTCACTTACACAAGAACCAAACGCAAAAGAACCACAAACTGCAACAAAGGTGCTGAGATAAACCATCCAGGGCTGCTCCGGTTTTGAGCCAGCCATGATACCCTTGTGCACCAGTGGTTCCCTGCTGCCATCACTTGCCTTTGACATCTTCATGTTTATAGATCTTCTTTCTAGACCTCAAAACTGCAAAGAGACGAAGCCTGAAGCAAGAGTTGAGTAAGAAGGCAGAAGAAATATACAAAAGAACAAAGTGGAAAAGCGGAGGAGGAGAATAAAAGATGACAACTTTTTTATAGGTAATAGTGACCCTTTATGCAAGAAAGCTTTGTGGAAGAGATGAAAGCTGTTTCATGTCTTTTTCAGCATTAAAATGTAAGAGAAAGACCTGGATTAAATCCAAAATTGGGTTCCAGTTTGTGTCATATTAGTTCCCCCTGCTATAGGTGTAATGACAAAGGTTGAGCCACTTGAGTGTAGTATAATAACGAATATTCTGTGTAAAGATGTACCAAGTAAAATTGTATACGCCTAGTGGCTTTGACAGAGACAGACACGTGTTCTTTGGCCTCTTGTCAAGAACTTGATCTCAGTTTCTGGGCTTCCTACCTAATCCTATTCGGACTAGATCTTGTTAGCATCAGAACCAGAAAGATTGTCTCTGCAGAAAACAGATAAGAAGAACTGAAGATAACCCACCAAAAATGTGATTATGACATCAGCAAAGAGGATGAGGATGAACCAAAGTGTTGTGTGGTTATAAAAGCTCACGAGATTTGTTTTTGATTTATGGTCTCATGGACTTCCGCATCTTTCGTGTCCTTTTCCGACAAGCTTTTGTCCTCGTCTTAAAAGATACATTCGACTGCATTTTGATAGTCAGTGTATGTACTTTTTACATTTATTCAACCTCTAGTGTATTATTGTACGCAAGATTGCATCGGATATAGAAATTCAGAGACGTTTGTTACAACAGATGAATTTATTGGAACGGTATAATATAATATCATACATACATAAGTCACTGAAGAACCATCAAACTATCAAAGAATGAAATGAATGCACACTAAAAATACTTACAAGTTGGCAGCAAAAACATGAACTAGAGCTATTTGTTGTGTTCGGGTCCATCAGCTCCAAAGGAGAAGGCCTGATACCCCGTGGGGCTAGTCAGCTTCCCAGAGCCGCTGCTGCTGCTAACAGAGCGGTCAATCTCTTCCCTACATGCCACCAGAGGGATCGGGCGCTGTGGTATAGAGATAACAGTGAACTCATTACTCTCCAGCATTTTCACCACTTGATCCATTGTTGGTCTTGCGTGGAGCTGAGGGTGAGAGCACAGCACTGCTATTAGCACATACTTCTCCAGAACCTCCGGAGATCCCTTCTCCGGCATCCCGTCTTCCACCACGTCCAGCGTCTGCCCTTCTCTCACCAGCGACCACGCCCAGTCTGCCACCGACACAGGCTGCCCCTCCTCGTCAGTCACAATCGCCTTTCTCCTGCTTAGAAGCTCTAGGAGCACCACCCCAAAGCTGTACACATCGCTTTTCTCTGTCAGTTGCCCGTACAGTGCGTACTCTGGCGCTACGTATCCCATTGTGCCTGCGACCCTTGTGCTCATATGCGTCATTCCTTCGGGGTTGAACTTGGCCAGCCCGAAATCAGCAACCTTGGCCTCAAACCTGTCGTCCAAGAGAATGTTGCTGGCCTTGATGTCCCTGTGGATGATCGAGGGTTGTGCGCCGTAGTGTAGGTAAGCCAGTCCTCTGGCCATCCCAAGAGCGATCCTCTGCCTCAGAGGCCAGGCAAGCTGAGTCTCCAAGTCTCCAAATAGATGGTCGTGAAGACTACCGTTACTCACAAGATCACACACTATGATCCTCTGGTGACCTTCATACGCACTAGTCGCCGTGCAGTAGCCTCTGAGGGCCAGAAGATTGACGTGGCGTATGCTCGCAATGACCTCGACTTCATGAGCGAAGTTAGCGTCCCCACTAGCCGAGCAGTTCTTGAACCTCTTGAAAGCAACTTCGGTGCCGTCTGTCAAGACGCCTTTGAAGACGTTCCCGTAGCCTCCCCTGCCTATGATGTTGTGACGCGAGAAATTGTTGGTGGCTTTCTTGATGTCTTCGAAAGTGAATTTGACAAGAGTGGTGCTCTCGCTCATGGAGTCTAGCCTAGATCGAGTACCCGCTTCTAAGCTATCCCTCTGCCGCCTCATCATTCTCCGCTTCAAGTCTTTCCTTTTCCTCCGGTAGTACCAGAACCAAGCCGTGATCAAAGTAAAGGCGACAAGCAACAAGACAGATAACGAAGCTAGTATATTTTTCAATTTCTTGCCATTCCCGGAGCTACTAGAAGCAAGATCGAGCTGAAAAAGGCATTTCGCAGTACCTTTATCGGTGGGGCCGTACACGTTGGCGTAAGCAGCGGCGTAAATAGACGGGAAAGCAGCGCAATCGGAGACATTTCCGAGAGAAGGTCCGGACAGATAGGCCTGAAACGCGGACAAGCTCTGAGTGCAGGAGGCGCAAGGGGTGTTGCTCTCCAGAGAGAGGTTACAGCGCATCACGGCGGTGGTCAGAGTGGAATTAGGGATTAGGGATTCGAACTGAGACCTTGTGGTGATGTCCATGCACCCCTGCGAAATCCACGGCGTCTGAAAACCACATCTAGATCGGACATCGAAGCCAGGGAGAAATCCGGCGATGGAGGACTGCAAAGCAGCCCAGCAAGAGGCAGCCGAATCGGGCGGCGGAAGGAAAGAACCAGTCTTCCGGAGGTGCTCAGAGTAGAGGAGCCGTAAGCCTTGGAGGAGGTACTGGCAGGTGGTGGCGCCATCAGGTCTCGGACGCCGGAAGGGCTGGAGGACGGAGAACTCGAGAGGACAGGTGGAGTTCTGACCGGCGACTAAAGAGGCGGCTGCTAGGGTGAAGAGTATGAAGAGGACGGCGCTTCGACGGAGAAACATCGGGCGGTTTCGTGGGAGAAGAACAAGGGAAGAGACAAGTGATCGACGGACAACATAAAGAGTCCATGTCTTATTATTATTTTCACCATTAAAATTAAATACCTCTATTTAATTACACTATTCATATAAAAATCAGAGTTCTAATATAAGAAAGTGCATGAGAAGTTTCATTTATTCATACTGGACTAGTATTTTTCAAAGGTAGGTCGCTAGTGGTAAACTGGTGATAATGTTAAAAATTCTTTGATTGGATCGTGAAAAGGTCTAATTTTGTCATATCTTCTTTTCACTTTTCGTATTTTACAAACCTAATCGCAATAATCTAAATTAAAATTTAGACCCAAACAAAAAAAATATAAAATTCATCATATCATCTGGGGAACAATCATAGAGCCTATTGCTCACAATTACTGTACACGTGATGGCGTCCAAAATACCATAGGATAGGATAATGATGTAAGGCCCATATTTCTTCAAATGGGCCTAAAAATAAAGAGGACACAAAAGGCCCAATCCAGGAACATCAAACTTTGTCTAACTTTCACTGAAATCGATCGGATCGGCGGTGAGAATTGACGGTGGTGGTTAAACCCTG